TATCATCTCCAAGTCTGCCGTCTGAGACCTTTTAACTGGAAATACTCAGCTTTCTGGAATATTTTGTGCCGTCTACTTAGGAAAAATGACTCAGCTCTAATTAGCAGCCACTAACTTTCCTGTTAACCTCTCCATCACAGGTACCAGCCAAATGACTGAGTAAAAAAAGTACAAGTTTGTTTTTTATCATTAATGAACATATAGAATTTGACAGAATATAAAGCAGGTCTATTAGAAGGTTAAAAATCAACCAGTTCTAAACCATGAGGACTTCCCCAAATATACTTGAGTAGAGATGCTCTGTTTCATGTCAAAATCACAAGTGTTTGCTGATTCTTAATCCAAAAAGGTATAAACCCAACAGTATAAAAATAGGCTTATCTTCAGTTGGTCTAAAGCAGGGGTAGGCAACCATGGCTCTTTTATGATTTGTTGACTTCAACTCCCAGGATTCCTGAGCCAAGTCCACGAGTTATAAAAGAGCCAAGGTTGCCTACCCCTGGTCTAAAGCAGCCTTCTTCATCAAATGTATTAAACTCCTACAAATTTCTACACAGATGGAAGACACAAGTTGGAGAAAGCTACTCTGAATTAATATCCTAAAACTTCAGTGTTACATACATCTTTCTCGTCAAATTTCCTTTGAAGTTGGCACAGTTTACTCCTGAATCAAGAAGGAAAGGATTATATCATAGGAATACTAAGTATCACTATGACCTTTGTTTCATGTTTCCTTATAAATACCTGACTGAAAAAAAATAAATCAAAAGATGGGAATATATCCCCAGAAAAAAATCTTGACCATTGTATGTTTTGCTGCCATTAATCTTGCTTCAACATATTTATTGTATTCAGTTTTTGCACAGAGCATTCCAAACTCTGAAATAAACTCAACAATTCAACACCAGTAGTTAAATCTTCTAAAACAATTTTGTCCATGTAAGGTCCTGGGACCTTAATTTCTGGAATTGCAACTAACATGGCCAATAGATTCAAATTCTGAAACTTAAAATTTCAGCACATCTGGATCTATCGGCCTGGAAAAGATTGCTTCTGTTACATTAGGTTTTTTTAATGCATAATGCAAAGGACAAAGTCATTTGAATAGCATGTCAAATGAATTTGCTTTTTAAATTAACTTTAAAAAAAACAACAATGTGAATTACCCCCAAATAGTCGGATGTCTATTTTCAGAGGCTGACAAGGATAATAACTCTGAGATACAGTGACTTTACTTATAATACAAGTTGTCTTCTACATATACACAGTAATATCTTAGAGTCTGATCTTTATCTCTTGGTTTAGGGCTAAAGCCCCCAAATACCATAGATGACAACAAGGAAATAAAAGATGTGAGGTTTTAGGAATACCATCCTTTTCCACGTCCACTAATCCTTCTTTCTCATTTTCTATTCATATCCTCATTTCACTCCACTGGAATCAAATCTTGTTGAGCCTTTGGTCCTGATTTCATTTCTTTCATTGCAAGAATAACTGCTATTATCAGTATTCCTTGCTCAAAATCTTCTTTCTGTATCTTTCCAAGAAATACCAAGCTTATCTTCCTCTAAACCATACAAGAATTTTCAGTCGGTCCTTAAGTTTATGGATGTCATCCACTGCTCACAACCTGGCTATCTACACAGACAGACTTTGGATATTTGGGCTAATCAGTACAAGACTGAGAATGGTGGAATTATCAGGATTTTGGTTTTTTTGTTTTGTTTTGAGCATTTGCAGATCTGGCTACAGCTACTGACCTAGTTAACCATATTCTCAACACCGTTAGCAGTTCTATATCATGCAGTTAGAGGCATAATAGAAGATAGACCTTAACATGCCATAAAAGTGATCCAACTCCAGCGAAAAGGTATCAAGAAAAGCAAGTCTGTCACTGCTAATCTTCCTAACTCCACTTCACTTCCTCTCTACTGGAGTGAAAATACATTCAGGAATGTTGATGAGTGACAGTCCTTGAAACAACTGCAAAAGCCTTTATGGTACATTCATGGCTTCAAACAGCCTTGCTTTACAATTACCTGGTTAATATAAAAGAAGGGATCAGTAGAAAAACTAAAATTGATTTCATATGGAATTTTAATTAAAATTAAATTAAATACTTTGAAGACAATGGCTCTTTTGTTTGACCCTTCCTGTCACATGAAAAATAAATAAATTTTGTTGCAACTTTGGAGGTGCTCTAAGGGCCACGTTCAAGGTTTGGGGGACAAATTGTGAGCCAGGTTGTGTCTCACTACTACAAAAGCTTTATCTGAAAGGCATCTAACTGCTCTTGACTGATTATGAAAAAACTAAATAAAATCAGACCCATCCAGTACTTTGATAGGAGAACTTCTGGAACAGCCAGAGCTGTAAGCTAGTCTGAAAAGCTGAAAACACCCACACAAACATACACATCCTAGAAAGAAAAAGCAAACCGCTTTTATACTGTTGCCAAGAAAATGACGTGAATTTGTTCATGAACTCACAGAGGCTCAAATTAAACTCAAAACAGGCTATCTTTTTATCGTATCAGGTGGCAATGCCTTTTGAAACGCAGCCTGAATCTGGCCTATCAAAGCCAATTCAATTGGAGGAGTGGGTCTTCCTAAAATATAGTGAATTCATTTGTTTTTCTTAACTACAGTGACAACATTCTTTGTTCTACCTGCTCTATGTCAAATTCTGCTGACACTTCAAGCAACTCAAAGTTGTCCCACTTTCAATTTTGCATGACTGAAATGATTCATTTCTATTACAGATTTGGGGGGATTTGGGGGGGGCGGAGGTGAGTGAAGATCATATTACTATTCTCTGGTTGCAAATATTGGTTCTCCACATTTGTTTTTTGCAGAGTATTTCACACAGAGTATTTCACACCACATTTCAGTGGTGTACAACACAAATGTTTAAATGTTGACCTAAAAACTGTGAGGCTGATAACAGCCATTGGTCTCACTCAAGCACTGGGCAGATGTACTCAAGGGAGTGACAACTTAGGGTCCAGACCTCTAGTAAAATAAGGTTCTTTTCCCTTGATTTCAATTTTTGTAAAGCCTTTTCAATTGCGAGTCACATTTTTAAATCAGCAGATGATTTGAGATAGGGCAGAAAGAGGATGTATATAAGTTCATAGAATATCTTATTATTCTATACTCCCTCCCACACACCATAAAATATATCCTAATAGACAGTGAAGAAAGGAAAAGAAATTAACCCATTGAACTTCAACCTGCCCCCTTCTTGAAAAATATTAAAAACAAACAAACAGCAAAAACTAGCAGGAAAAGGTCATCTGTTAATAACATCTTTTCAAAGATTTTAAAGATGCATTTTAAAATCTGTTTGTTTTTTTCTTTTTTGCGATAGTAGATATTTAGGACTCGGGCATTTAAGGGGCTAACAATCAGCTTTTGCATTCTCATACAATTTTTCTTTCCTTGTATCTCAATCAGGATGATGGAACTGAAGAATCAAAACCCATCTACAACTGCACCTAACACCAACCAAGCCTGTTTATTTTTGGATAACGTAGCATGGAGAAAAATTAGCATATATATTGTAACTTGGGATCGTGCTTGGTGGCTCTGATTTATTTTAAACCCATTCAATGAAAATAAAAATATCTGCCAAATTAGAGAAGACCCCTAATGTATATTGATATTCCCCACCTAATCTTAATTCTTATCCTTATGAACATAGACATATTGATCAGAAGTCAGAAGCCCATATAGTTTGATGTGCTTACATTATCTAAAAAGAATACTTAGAGATTACTGACTCTTTCCTTATAAAATACTCCGTTGCAGATTGTTACAGAATGTGATTGATTCCAATCTGATTCCCATTGTAAATCTGACCCAATTCAGTGATTCAGCTTGATTCGGAAAAATCAGCCTGAATGGGATTTTCCAGCTCAGTCTGAAAACCGATTCAGCGATTTGGTCCTATTGCAAGGCACTATCCATAATAAAGCATCATAGCACCTGATACCTGTGAAAAGAAGCAGAAACAAGCTGAAACAGATGGACAATTGAGTTGTGCCCACAACAAAAGAATCAACCATCCTACTTTTCAACAATGGAATCATTGTCGAAAGAAAGCCATGTTAGTTTATGGTGGGCAAAAATCAGACAGACTGGATAGCATCTTTCTAGGTGGACACAATAAGAAGCATAAACCTTTGAGAGCTAAATCTTTGAATAAAATCTATTAGTCTGAATAGATGCTACCAGACTCTGATGAGTAGAACAAGACTGTCAACGCTGAAAATATTGTATATTCTTGCTTTTGACAATATGCAGAACTGTCTGGTATTTATGGGGTTAATACAGAGCAAAAGGGGGGTGGGGTAAAGCCCGGGAAAGAAAGAGGAAGAAAACCTATGACCTTCACACTAATTGGATAATGTGATATATGACTGCTAATTTAGGGAGGGAACATGCTGATAATTTAACTGCTCAGAGGAAGAGAACTTAGATCCTAGCATCCCTCATTATGTCTGTGCCCACATTTTGTAACAATCACTGATTTTTAGGAAAATAAATGTCTGGAAGTTCTTTGAAGTGTTTCATTAGCCAGAACCATAACAATACTTCTTTAAAGTATCCTAGATAAGCATATACTCATAACATGTAGAGGAAAATCTAAATAAAATCTCAGGAATGAAAATGGCACGATTGAAAATGCGCAAGCAGAGGCACAGAGCTATTGACATAAGAGAATAAAGTGCAGGAAATCTAGCATTCAAGCAAAACACCCATTCATCTAGAGTTCCCCATTTCTATTGGTCCATCCCATCTGTCCATTTCTAGTGGAGTTCTATATATAGAGAGACATATTTTGTTTTTCCACAATGGTGATAAAAATCCACAGCTGGCAAAACAAACAAACACATGATTTTTGCAATACTGAAACCATTTTAGAGCTTAAGACTATTTTAAAAAATACTGGCACAAAATTTAATAAAATACCATTTCTTTTAAACATTTTCTTTTTTAAAAAAAAAAAGGATTTTTTTTTTTGGTCCCCCCTGACAAACAGAAGAACAGAGACCTGTTTTATGAAATGCAAAATTATCTGAGGTCACAGTACTTTGTTATTCAGATATATTTTTTCCTGTAAAACAGGATAGTTTGCCACTTACGACTGTTCTCCATCAGTTAAAGACAGGCTGTCTTACAAGCACACCGATTGTCAGTTTTTAAGACCAGGAAGAAAGGGGATGATATGAATTCATTAAATAGATGGAACAAAACGGTTGTCCTTTTCCTGACTTCTAAGATCCCAGCTGCAAATACAACTCCAAAAAGAATTGGAGGTGGAACTGGAATTGGAAACTTTGTTCTTTCTCCTCCCAGCCAACCTATGTCACAGTTTCATTCAAAAGCTTAAAATCCTACCCCTTCTTAAGTACAACCAATGAAAAAGTATGCTTTTTCTTTTTTCTTTTTTAAAGGAAAATAAAGATTGGGGGTAAGAAAGAAATAAAAGTCCTTATGTTCTGCAGATTGTTCAATTTTGGTAAAATGGATCCATTCACTCATCAGCATCTGGCTTCACATCCAGCATGGCATGGAGCTCTTCAGGTGTGTACCCCAACAAACTTTGCAGATCACATACGAAACGATACACATAGCGTTTCCCTGCAGTTTTGTGGATGATGTTCTTGTCATAGTAGTAACGCAATCCACGGCTCAGCTTCTCATAGTTCATTTTTGGCTTGTTTTTCCGCTTGCCCCATCTCCTTGCCACCTGGAGAATGGGAACCCCATAAAATTTAGTTCACAAAATTGTCAAGCACTGGGGAAATCAGAAGATCCAGGCACTTCAAATGAGTATAAAGATTTATTGCAAGCTTAAGCTCTCTACAGTAATCTGAACTACAAGCGGTGAAGGGAAATGTGCGGGAGTTAAGAATAAAAAGGAATTCAAGGTGTGCTGCATTTAGATTTCTTGTGGGCGCATAGGGATTCATGAGTAATGACACATTTGACCCATCTCTTGGGCTCAGCCTGGTCAACTCCTACGGAAATTCCTTAATAAAAAGAACTTGACAGAATGTGTAAAGTAATTTCAAGTTTATGTTGGAAATGTGGGCAACACAAAGGCCCATTTTAATATGGCTTGCAGAAAAGGCAGAACATTTTGGGTTCAAATACAGACAATGATAAAATAAATTTTAAAGACTAAGTTTTAGCTCAAAGCAGAGCTTATCGGGATTAATGGATAGATAACTAGAAAAGAGCCATAGATGATTATTTTGTGATGAGACTATTATATGTTCAGAAATGGAAAGACTCTGATATACCCACAACGGAGGAATGATTGGTGAAGATAGAACCAGCAGAGATGGCAAAATTAACTTGTTTGCATAGCGAAAGCTCAACTATTACATTTATCAAGGATTGTAAACCCTTTATGGACCTTTTGCTGAAAAAGGGGAGCAAAAATGAGCTTGTGATTTATGGTTTGATGATTAGAAATGGTAGCTTATGGAAAAATGAAATTACAGTGGTATCCCAGTACTTGACTGCTTCAAAAGTCTCAAATTTACTACTCAATAAATTTGGACATGAAACTGTTGTCCCAGACTAAAAAGTTCCACTTAATTTATGAGTAAATTTTAGAATATTATTATTATTAATAGCTTATTATAGTGGATTTTTTAGTTTTAATTATATAATATTATTATTAGTAGTATTAGTATTGTTTAACAATTTGGATATTGTATTGTTTAATAACTAGTTTAATAATTAGGATATTATGTTTGTTTATGTTTTTATTAGTATTATGTTTACTTTTAATTTGTTTATATTTATGCTAAAGGGGAGTTAAAGCGCATTATGGACTTGGTTATTGATATAGTTGGTTAATGTTAGTTAGATTATGATTATTATAATTGTAACCCTGTACTTAGCTCTGGGAAGTGGGGGAGGGAGAGGGTGGGTTTAGGGTGGGTTGGTTTAGGGGTTTATATTGTAACTTTTATAAAACTTTTCAATAAAAAAACAGAAAAAAAAGAAAATGTTGTCCCAGTACTTGGCCTTTGTTTAGTACTTGATGCACAGCTGTAGGAAGAGTGGGATGGGGAATGGACAGGAAACCAGCCATGCTGGGAAGGTCACTGCAAAAGGAGAGGGACAGCCACAGAGGGCAGACAGGAAATCAGCCATGCTGGGAAGGCCACTGACATACGCAAAAAGGACAGACAGAAAGTTCTTCCTGGCTGAAACAAAGAGTCAAGTGATGTATATGGTTTGGTTGAGACTCATCCTTTTTACTACCCATCATATCTCCTGGAACCAATTAATGCAGAATACCAAGGTACCACTGTATGTAACCTTTTGGGGGGGGGGTAAAATATAAATGTATTTATAACTGCTGTCAAAAAGACTGCTTTATAATTTCTCTCTCTCTCTCTCTCTCTTCTTTCTCTCTCTTTCCTTTCCTTTTCTTTCCACTACTCTTTCTGATTTTGTTTCTTTTCTAATATTTGCACTGTTTTACCTTGTTAAAAATATATTCAATTAAAAATTATATATTTAAAAAAAAAGAACTTGACTCAGGACTTTCATGTGTACAGTCCAGATTAAACCCATACTTACCTCATCAGGATCAGAAAGTTTAAATTCCCAGCCATCACCTGTCCAGCTAATGAATGATTGGCAGGATTTGTCTGTCAGAAGTTCCAGCAAGAATTGCCATAACTGAATAGGTCCACTGCCTAAGATGACAGAGGAAAGGGGAGAAAAAACAAATAAGTAGGCTAGAAATGAAACCCATAAATGCAATGTTGTCCCCAGGAACAAATTAGAAATGAGGAAACCACATTCAGGTTAGAGCTGTTTTACTGTTTGTTTGTTTATTTAGCATGTATTTTACTCTCCTTCCCTGAAATCAAACTGGTGAAGTAAAGGCAAAAAGTTATTATTAAAATCCAAGAATAACACTGCAATAAATTAGAAAGAGTTAGTTTTCAAACTGGTAGACAGAAAGGAAAAAAAAAACATTCACACAAGGAAGGTCTTGGTAAAGTTATATCTTCATTAGAAAACTAAAAGATAGGATGATAGATGCTATGGCTATGCTTATCTTCAAAAGGGTTCCTTGTGTCCAAATAAAAAGTTTCTCTGAAGCTCCTTGAAGACCTGCTTTTCTCCAAACAAGGCCCACCTTGCAAGGTGCCTTCATGACGTGGGACCAAGTATCTGAGGGACCATCTTCTTCTACTCCTTTCTACCTGTCCAATCTGGTCCAGCCAGATGGGTATCCTCTGGGTCCCATCAGCCAATGAATGTCAGCTGGCAAAGACAAGGAGATGCCCTTTTTTGCCATAGCACCTGAGATTAGGATGACCCAGAACCTGCTCACCTTTCAGAAAGTCTTAAAGACTTGGCTATGTGACAACCCTGGGATCCCTAAGTTTGTGAATTTCCCAGCTTCCTGGATATGATGAAAGCGATGTATTACAATATATCTTGACTGCTATTTGTATTTAGTTTCTTTTTTGTGTCCTGCTTTAATTGTTTTCATGATTGTTCGCCATCCAGAGTCACTGGTTTGAGAGGAGTGGCTATACAAATTGAATCAATCACTCAGTCAATAGCAGAACCTATTCTGACAGTTGAGGAGATTGTCCACAAATTGTCTAATGAGAATGTCCAAATTCTGACAAGTCCCCTTGTCCTAAATTGTCTCACCACTAACAACAGCTAACTTATTTTATCTCGGCTATAATGGGTTCATGAGAGATATTATTATTATTATTATTATTATTATTATTATTATTATTATTATTATTAGTAGTAGTAGTAGTAGTAGTACTAATACTACTACTATTACTACTACTAATAATAATGATGATGATAATAATAATAATAATAATAATAATAATAATAATAATAAGTTGGGAGGGACCTTGGAGGTCATCTAGTCCAGCTCCCTGTTCAGGCAGGAAACCCTATACCATTTCGGACAAATGGTTGTCCAGTCTCTTCTTAAAAACTTCCAGTGTTGGAGCATTCACAGCTTCTGGAGGCAGGTTGTTCCACTGATTAATTGTTCTCACTGTCAGGGAATTTCTCCTTAGTTCTAGGTTGCTTCTCCTTAGTTCTAGGTTGCTTCTCCTTAGTTCTAGGTTGCTTCTCTGCTTGATTAGTTTCCATCAGTTGCTTTTTTTCTTGCCTTCAGGTGCTTTGGAGAATAGTTTGACTGCCTCTTCTTTGGGGCAGCCCCTGAGATATTGGAACACTGCTATCATGTCCCCCCTCGTCCTTCTCTTCATTAAACTAGACATACCCAATTCCAGCAACCGTTCCTTATATGTTTTAGCCTCCAGCCCCCTAATCATCTTTGTTGCTCTTCTCTTATCAGCTTATCACAAGCTGTCACAATGTTTGTGATAGTATCCCCATGCTGTGCATGCCTAGTGGGTTGACAGGAGGATGTCTTTCAAGTTTGTGCCTCAAGAAGGAGTTGGTTTCTCCTGGAATTGCAGCTGCTGAATAGGAAACTCAATGGGACGTTTGTATGGCAGTTCAGAGCTTATGTCTTAGTTACCTAGACAGGATTTTGGCATCACTTGCCAAGGGAGGGGCCGCCCTTCCCTCCCACCTGCCAAAAGACGCTTGACCACAACCTGACCTCCATCAGGCTCCTGCCTCCGCGTCTTGCCTGCTGCCTCTCCTGACCTTGACTTTTTGTTCCTGGCTGAGTGTTTACCAAGAAGTGATAAAAAGGAGGCAGGTATGAAAATTACTGGCTTCCTTCCAAGGCATGTTGATGCAGGAACAAAAACTGCACAATCTCACTGAGTTTAAAAAGCAAAACGAAACAAAAAAAACAACCAAATAAACTTGGAGCCAATTGGTGACTATTAATATAAGGAGAGGCAGCCCTGATATTGTGGTTGGATGGAACAGGGGAATTTGAACAAGGGGTGGAGGGAGACTAATCTCCCTATTAAATCACTTGGTGCTTTAATACTTCCCTTCTTTTTGGAAAAAGTCAGATTAGGCTCCAAGCAAGAAAAGTCTAGCACAGTGGTTCTCAACCTTTTTAATGCCGCGACCCCCAACCGGTCGTAAGTCGAGGACTGCTCAACCGGTCGTAAGTCGAGGACTACTCAACTGGTGCAGCACCATTTGCAAAATGAAATTTTGGCGGGCTCAGCAGGGCAGAGACAGCCTGGACAATTCCTATTGGCTTTTGAAAGCCAATAGAATTAGACTCTATTCAAGAGAGTCTATTCTATTGGCTTTCAAAAGCCAATAGAAGAAAAGGGAGCAGCACAGCTAAGGAAAAGGGGGAAAAAATGGCAGACTGCGTTGTTTGGCGACCCCCGTGAAATGGTCGTTCAACCCCAAATGGGGTCCCGACCCACAGATTGAGAACCACTGGTCTAGCAGGAGATACAATTCATTTTTAGACTTTTTTTTTTTCCATCTTCTTCACTTTCAGTTCTGAAGAAACTAAAATCTTGAATTTTCCTCAGTGCCATTTTGGGAAATGCTAACAAAGATACTACCGACTCCACCCTAAATAAGCAAGGGTTTACACAACAGGCTAAGAAAGAGTTTGCTAAAGAAGCCACGATGGGTTACATTTACACAACACACTAAACCATGCTTTACGAATCGTAGCAGTGGAGTTAGCAGGGCTAAATCAAAACCAAGAAATGACTTAATATAAAACGCAAATCCAGTTGTTGTAAGTGTGAGTGTAGATGAGTGGGTTTTTTTTTTTTATTGTACGCAGCCCAGAGTCACATTCTATAAAATGGATGGCTGTATAACTATGAGTTTTAAATTAATCAAATCAATAAATACACACAATTTGATTAGTTGTTGATAATAGGGAACTTGCCTTCTGAATGTTTATGATCCATTTCTTTGTCAGTCGTTCTTATAATTTTTTATACAGAAAGCCTCCCAGAATTGTTTGGAGTTGGGCAGCCTCTGCATTGTTTTAAATAAATAAATAACAACAATTATTCCTTTAACTGAACCTTTGACCAGCATCACTTCCTCTCCCTAACTTCTTTTGCTCTTAGAATGAACATATTGATGTTATGTGAGCCGCATGAAAGTTCTACAAACTAGAAAGTTCTTTATGGACTAAAAAGTACCTCTGTGAGTGAGGGGAGCAGTCTATAAATTTGATAAATTAACATCTGTTGACCTGTATCTTTTTCTGATTTCCTCTTCTATGCATGCGCAGTAACCTGCCTTTAGCCACTTATATGAATCATAACTGCCTATATTGAAAAAATGATCTTAACACGGAGACCTATAACTCTCTTTAAAGCTGGTTTTGGTTTGTTCTGAATTGCAGTCTAATTAAGTATAGGTATTCGCATATTTTGAATGAGTTTCCCATCCTGGCTCTTTAAAAAGCTGAGCAACTACTTTTGGCAGACTCTGAAGTCCAACCCAGGCTTTAGAAGGGAAGTGCAAGATGCTCACCTAAATAGTCTTTCAGCAATACTTAGAGTAGATCTGACATTTAAAACTCTCTCTTTTATACAACAGTGGTTTCCTCTCTAGGTTGCCAGATATGATGCACGTTTTCATTATTTTTCTGCCCTGTTCAGTGTCCCTGCTCAGACATGCACACGATTTTATTTAAGGTCAACTCAATCATGCCTTTTCAATTTCAGTTTCCTTCCGCCATGTTTACTGATGTTTGGTGAAGTTGCTACCCCAAAAAATGTATGTGTTGCTAGTATGGAAATATTCCTAGCTCTCCTGAGCTGGAGTGCTAAGAATTTCATTTGGTAAATTTACAGACATAGATTAAAAACAAAAAGAATGCCGAGAAATTCACAGACATTGAGATGGCACAACGGTATCTGGCTTTTCATTCTCCTCCATGGCTTAGTTGGAAACTATGTTGTATATTTTAACAGTTAAGAAGAGGGAAAGAAATGAGAAATAGCATAGGGAGGAAAACTACACAGCCAGAAACTAAAAAAAATAATAATAATGGAGCACCTATAGAATGTGCAAGAATGCAAAGAGAATCTGGCCTAATGTCAAGCAGAAAAGGCCAGGTCCACACATGAAGTTCCAATTAAAATGATTTATTGCTATTCATGTCTAAGCACAACAATCTTTTCAACTAATGGTTAGCAACTGCTTGGTAATAGATAAGGGTCAATGGAATTCAAGGGAGTTGGATGTAGGTCACTTGTGGCTATGTAGGGATTCTAGGCTGATTCCTCTTTTAACTCCACCTCCAGGTTCTGCCACTTTTTCTCCTACACCCAGAGTTTCCTTAGCTCTGGCAACATAAACAGTGCTAATTTTCTGGGGTACACCTTGCCAAGCCTAGTGGAACCAGTTTCTACATGCTCCAGCACAGTATGAAGTCAGTCTCCGAAGATCATACATCTCTATTCATTGCAGCCAAAGTTTGATAAAGCTCTCTGTTCCTTCAACTATGTGCCAGATGAACTTAGAACAGAAGTCAAACTCTGATGGGATTATTGGACTTTAAATAGGACCCCATCTGTCTCCTGCTCCAAAGAAAAGGAACTCCAAAAAAGCAAATGATGTACATAAATAGGATGACCTCACACATCCATCCAGTGGAAGAGGGAGAGAGGATAAACAACACTGCACGAGCAAGAAAAAAGAATCACCCTGAGTTTTCTTTTTAAAAAATTAAGTTTTGGATTCCTCTGGTGATTTTAAAGCAAGAGGATTATCAAGCAAAATTTAGACA